GTTTTTTGGCCTAAATAGTCGGTGGCGGACATGCTGATTAGAATTTAATATGGGTGTGGGTGTGGTGACCTCTTACGGGGGGGGGGTGGGGGTGGAAGATAGACAGGACAGGACAGACAAAACAGGGACTCGCCCTTTTATGTAGACGATTGTTAACAATCTATTATATTATTATTAGCTATTGTATCTAATTGAACCTATTTATATAGGTAAACGTTGTGTACTGTATATATATATCATTATTTAATATATAGGGACTGTATATATATAATTAAGTATTAACAACTGCTGTGTTATTACGGCCTTATTGCCATTACATTATTTTGTACAGTATGCAAAATTAGAGCTCTTGCCTGGTTTCGTTCCTGTCATTCCGTTTGTTTTCGTTCTGTCATTTATGTTTTAGTTTCTTGTTCACCTTTATTCAGTTTTATATTGTTCATTATGTTTTGATTCATTTCCTGTCATGTTGTTTTGTGTGTTTCCCTTGCTCACCATCCACTGTGGCACCAAGTAATTTATAATAATGGACCCATCTGCCTACTTATTTAGTAATTTACATTTTCTTTTTGAGGGGTGGCAGACTTTGATAACTTTGCGGGTTCTTTCGCCACTCCTGTTTTTGCTTCCTTTGTAAACTAGATTAACTATGACTTGATATTTCCTTTATTTTGCCCGCAGTCCTGTAATATTACACGACTACGCCAACAAAAAATAACATCTTGAATCTCTAGTTCACTCTTCATGCTCTAAAAATTCTCATGTGAATCTTCTAGTACGACAATAGCTTCGCTATACAAGGAAATAATAGTAAAATAAAAACTATTAAATTACTGGAAAAGGATGTAGGATATTGGTTTTCACATGAATAAAATACTGAAATATATATAAACACTTTGATGGGCTACTATGTGCAACTCACACAGTTTCTATAGGGCATCTGCAAGTGTTAAAATTGTCAGTTATATTTTCTTATTAAAGAACAAGAGCCAGTTATTTCCTAAAAAGGAACAAACATCATTGAAACAGTGTTGGTATGGCATTTGATGGGACTGTGTCAAGGAAAGTACCAACCATGAGTTTTACTGGTGGAAAACATTGTGTGGTAGGTTGTAAGTGGAGGAAATTTTAGCTAAAATATTATCACACTATATTGGCATCACTACAATGCTCGCAAAAGAAACTATAAGAAGTTCACCCATAGGTATACAATAGCAACGGACATGCACAAAAGATATTTTACGTAATAGGTAAGCAATCGGTAAAAATAAGCGAATTACACTGTATGCTTTTACATCGCGAATACATAACCCTGACTTGTTCCTCCTTCAGGCCCTACCATCAAATTGCCAAACTTGTCACTGGAAGCTGTAGTTTGTAGTTGGACAACAGGCATTTGACAAAAACGTTTGAAATGGTTAATGAAAATAAAACTGGTAAGTGATGAACATATTAAAATTCATTTCATTACACCACTAAAGTTAAGCAGTGGACAAAAGAATGGACAAATATGAGGAGAACATTTATTCAAAAATGGTAATGAGTCTTACGAAAAAATAAAAAAAACAGTATTTAATAAAACCCCAACTAGACCATTATTGCATTTAACATTTGATTAATTGAATTATGCAAGTATATACAGTAGGCATTATGAAAAAAATAAAAGTGCACAATTAATAATTAATAAGACATTTTGTGCGAGAAAAAAACACACAACGAAATATACTGAATAACAAGTTTTCCAAAACCACTTAGTAGGACCACGGGCAATATAATGACAAGCATGCAATATTCATTTAACTGAGTAATACATTATCGGGTTACATTTGCTTTTGTTATATTATAGACATATATGTATTCAGGTTTTTAGTCTAAATCTTTTCTTAATGGTAGACATAAGGTCCAAATTATCCCTGTGACTTGGCATTATAAGTGTATATACAATAGGAAACGAAATTTAACATTAAATTATTCCTTTGACAAGCTTTTTTATCCTATCTCCTAACCTTTCTTTGTGGTCAGTTTTAATTCTCTGCACGCGGAATTTCGTGCAATCTCGGTAGAAAAGTCCATGTATTTTATTTTGCCAAGAAGCAGGGAAACAGCTAGAGACATCCGTAATAAGGTTTTGACATTTTATATATTTGGTTCTCATTTTTTTAGCTCATTGGCAAGAATATATCACACAGTTGTAAATTTTTAGCTTCACTTTTTACTTTTTTTAGAAATTGCACTATTTATGCATTAATTATCTTACAGTTTAATATCTGTTATCAGATGTTTACTACAGATACGCTTAAACGGCACACGCTAGCACGATGCAAGGCACAACGCGCGTACACTCAGGCACACGCACGCACAATTGCACGCACCGGCACACATAGAATAACGGCGCGGCACACGGCAGCGCACACAAACACACGGTCACAGGTTCAACTACGAGCCATTCATAGTATCTGTTGTAATGTCTGTAAGAACTGCTTTTTAACCAAAAACTCCTGGACTTGATTTATAGCCAGATTCGGTGTAAGAGTACAGGTTGTAACAAGTTTAATTCGAGATAACAAAAAAAAATTACCCTTTCGAGAGATTAACGTCTTTTTACAATTAAAGATACCACTCGTCCAAAAGGCCGTGTTTGATAACCACTACAGAGCAAGCTTGAGCGGATTTAATGACGAGTTAATTGGCGCGCATTGGGATGGCGTTAGCTTGCGAAAGCATCATTTCTACAACATCCCTTGGTTTTCCGTCGTGCGAGCACGAGGTATCTTGCTATATTGCGATGAAACGCGAAACCGCTTCCCGCGCCACATGCCGCGTGCCGCTAACTATCCAAATTGCATTTCAAACCGATCAGGAAGCAGCTATAAACCCGCATGGGGATTAGGCGCGCATCGCGGCACGCCCGACAGAGAGCCGGGGGACTGACAGATTGCGACTCACGGAAAGCCGCCGCCGTCTCCGAACAATGTTGTTTCATTTGACATTGGCTACTAGTGTTTGCTCACATCTAAGCGGCGGCCGCCCCAGTTTAATGAGGACACTCGTAATATGGATTGGTGTATGTGTAGTTGTCTGTGTTTGTGGCTAGGGTTATAATCGCATATTTCACAAACCAACAGGATAACGGAAGATCCGGTAATGACGGGGCCGAGTGTGTTGAAGATGGTTATATGGCAGCCGCCACGCGTGCTGATCCCACAACATGTGTACCCACGTTGAGGAACTGCTGTAGCAAGGATCCTTACAGTTTACACTCTGACATTTTTATTTGCCAAACACCCCTTTAGACGGCGACTTGCACACTTTAAACAGTCTTGGCGAAAAAACAGGCTTGCATCTTAAACGTTGTCTTTCTGCAAAAACAAGGGGGCCCTAGACATTTACTACGACTACGAATACGAAAAGTTCAACCATTTAGGTACTGTACAATAAAGGGGTTCGTAATGTCGGTGTGTCCAACAAGGTTTAATTAGTAAGTTTACTGGCATTGTGTACTGGCCTTAACGAAAGCACACAACAGTTACGCCACCATGTTGCTGTGATTTGTGTCTTAGAGAACGCATTGTCATAAAGGCAAACGTTCTGTGTTTCCACTCTGTGTTACCCTTGAAACAAAAAACAGAACATATAATTTTACATGTTTACAATATTTACATGTGTTAAAAAAATGGTACACAAAACTATATATATGGATAGATTCGGAGACGAGGTTCAAGAGAGGAGGGTTAGATTGGGAGTATTAAGGAATTGATGCACTTGGGGCCTTGGTGAGTGAATGAAGTGAGGTGCGTTGAAAGAGTATTGTGAATCATTTAGTGAGTAAACAATGACTTGAGTTAGTAGATGAGAGTGAGTAGTCATTCAGTGGACTTGGACTGAGTGAGTTTGGACTGGACGACTGCTGGGACTTTGACGTGGAGTGTATTGAGTAAGTGAGTGAGTCATTCAGAGACTGAGTTGAGTCAGCCAGTTCAGTAATTACCTCGCGGCAACGGAACAGTTTGCAAGGTGAGGTCATGTAATCGCTTGGTGTGTGTGTGTGTTGGTTGTGGTCGTCGTGTGTGTGTGTGGTGTGTTCCCTTGTGGTGGTGTGTGTGGTGTGTGTGTCTGTGTGTGTGTTTGTGTGTGTGCTGTGTGGTGTGTGATGTGTGTGTGTGTGTGTGTGTGTGTGTGTGTGTGTGGTTGTCGTGTGTGTGCGTCGTTGTGTGTGGTGTACCATGTGTTTGTGTGGTGTGTCTATGTTCAGTGTTTGTGTGTGTGTGTGTGTGTGTGTGTGTGAAATGTGGGTTTGTGGTGTGCTGAGTGTGGGTGTTGTGCCGTGCGGTGCGGTGTAACGTGAGCGAGGATATGAGTGAGTCCTGTGTTACGCGTGCGAGCATAGGGACAGAGACAGAGAGAAAAAAAATATAGAAGAAATTTTAGAAAGAAGATGGGAGATGGCCAGATTATCAGAGAGGAGGGAGGAGAGAAGAGGGGGCGGGGCAGAGACAGAGGGGGCCATTTTAGTAGGAGAAGGACAATTTCCAGAAGAAGATAGAAGACCGATAGCGAGAGAGAGAGAGAGAGGGAGAGAGGAGAGGAGAGAGAGAGACTGAAGAGAGAGGACAGAGAGAGCGAGAAGAGAGAACCGAACGAGGACAGAGAGAGATGATGAGGAGAAGAGAGAGAGAAGAGAGAGAGAGAGAGAGAGGAATGAGAGAGAGAAGAGAGAGAGAGAGAGAGAGAGAGGGGACAGGAGAGAGGACGAGAGGAGCGAGAGAGAAGAGAGTGAGATGAGAGAACGAGAGAGAGAGAGGAGAGAGAGAGAGAGAGAGAGAGAAAGAAGAGAAAGTCGAGAGGGGAAGACAGAGGACGAGAGGGAGGACAGAAAGCAAGCAAGAGAGACGGGAAGAGAGAGAGAAGAGAGAGAGGAGGAAGAGCAGGAGAGAGGAGAGAGAGAGAAGATGAGAGAGAGATGAGAGAGGAGAGAGAGAGAGAACGAGGAGAGAGAGAGAGGAAAGAGACGAGAGAGAAAGAGAGAGAGAGAACGAAACAGAGAGGGGGAAGTGAGACGTAGTCAGCTGTACATCCGTAAGAAAGACATTACGAAGGTCTAGAACAGCTGGAACTTCAGCACTTTACTTAGGTATGGAGCTCAGCTGCTAAAAATATGCCGTCGATGGGGAGGGAGGCCAGCAGCAGCATCTACAGCAGCACATAACGTACACGAGTAACACGCTGATTTCAGTAACGCCTGGCCACGACTCACAGCTAGACGCACATTAGGAATAGAATACTGCTACCAACTATCGCGCAGCTACACATATTCTGTTCTACACATCTCCCTGTAGAGAAATTCCAATGTCTTTTGGGCTATTTGGACCTTTTGTCTTATTAGGAATAGAGCATTACCACGGCACCACAATCGTGGTTACATGCAATTAGTGACACGAGTTGCCAGTCGAAACGAGCAGAAGTGTTTTCTGTACCTTATTAGTTTTTATCCTGATTTGCTAGCGAGTATGAAGATACTGCCCCCCTGTAAGTAAGGGTGCACACTGTATAGTGCATGGTACCGCACATCCAAGACCAATCAAGCAGATAGAAATAACCGAAGATGAAAACCCTCCTCCAAGCCAGCAGCATAGCCAGCATATAATGTACACAGGCGATGATCCCCTGAATTTATGCATCCTACCCCTGTAAGTTGCAACTACAAGATTTGCGCAAAGAGTTGGTGAACTGGTCCCTTGTAGGTTTTGTTTCGCGCTGGCACAAGTCTATTAGACGTCATTACTCCCACTGCGATCTCTCAAAATTATATTTGAAATGTCTGCCACACGTACGCGACCATGCGTGCTTTGACACCAAGTCAGCCATCTCACAACAAGGTGGGACAAACTTCTTCACTATCCCATGATTTTATTTACTAGCAGCAATGGCTTCTCGGGTGCAAACCCCACACACTGTATTTTCAGCTAGGTCTGGCTCTGAGGGGGATAAATCTCAGGGAAAAAACCACGAGATTATTACGTCAACTGACTGCAGTATAATTGCAAAACATATATTCAGAGAAAAAGAGAAAGGGTTTCCACTGTGATTTACAGAGTTTCATTTATATGCCGTACATGTGAGGCTCGGGACAGTAAATGATATTTTATTGCCCGAAAAACTTTCACTGGATTCTGCAAATTTTCTGCTCACTGACTAACATAACAGCCGATAAATATTTGAGAACTTATTAAAATGAGTCAATGATTTTCAACATGTATAATAGTAAGGGTATACTCATTCATACTTTCTCCTTCCGTCTTTTCCTCCATTTCCAAATCATATTATAAAACTTCTAAAATACGCCACAAATAAAATGGACATTAAACGACGCATTTAATCATATATGAGCTTTGGTAGTAGAAGTATTCCATTCAAATCAAATTATTTCGAAATAACTGCGAGGTACGGATAAGATATCTTGACTGCCTATCCAGCATGAATCAATTCCTCAGCGAAATGTAAACATTCAAGCGCAGGGAGTTCATTTTCCTACATCCACAATATTTTACTATGCAACCGAAGGAGAGCGGCTGTCACTACATGCGATTGCTTCAAGGTCAACAGTGTGTTTTAGCAGATTCTATCTGCCACGGATTCAGTGAAGGGTCATCGGCGGTAATGACCTCTCGTTCAATGCATGGATGATTCAGATTGAGTGCTGTTTTAATCTCAACGTGATCGCAGTGCCTGGAGGAGTGAACACAACTATCTTTCTCAATGGACCAGAGCTTCCTCCAAAGTTTCCCCAAAATAGGGAAGAGAGGGATTCAGAACCATAATCCATCCAGGTGGCAGCGCTGACCATGATGTTCTTGCTACTTGGATGGAAAGACGAGGGAGAGGCTATAGGCATTTACACAAAGCGTACGTATATAACAGTCACGTCAAGAAACTTGGTTTTGGCATATTAATCGCTAAAACACAGCCAATCTCATGCACACTTGACACAAAGAAAATGAGATGCTGTTCAATCGAATTCGAGTTCAATTCCCAGCAGGCTCGATCATTTAAAGCTACATCTAATTGTCCAAATATCCGGTTGATTTTAGACCTAGGTTTTCGTTAAGTACTACTTTTACCAAACAGTAAACTGCTATATGCTACAGTATGTTTGCAGATAGGCCCTTGCTCGATCAATCAGCAATAAATCAGATATTAACGTGACAGACACGTACTCTGTGTGATGGCAGTTTCACCGGACTGCGAAAGCTCTTTTTTTAACCAATATCCACAGGGAATATATATACGGATTATGATCACGTTGGACGTGCATTGGCCATTACTAAATAACCTAAATAGTACTTAGTAACCTAAGCAGCAGAAGGAATAGACTCCACACATTGCATGTTAAAATTATTCATTGATCGCCTGGGCACACACAAAAATTCAAATCGCCTAGCTTCGTGCCAGAAATAACAAGTGAACGTGTTTACTCACCTCCTCAGGTGTACTTTTCGCGATCATCTCTTGCAGAGCTCTCACTGACAGCGCCTGCTCTATCACGAAGCCACACATCGTCAGATCCGGTGGGTTGTTCTGAAATGACAAGAGCACTAGATGTTACCGTGTGTCAACATTGCAGCGGCGGTTGACCTCCTAACGTGGATTACAGGATCACACGACTTCAGCATTATTGTCAGCAGGCAGATACTTGGGCTTTACTTGTGCTACATACCGATTTTACTGGTCAGTATTACAACTATCTAACACGTTTATTTTAAATATTGCTGGTATGTGTGTGGAAGGATGTCATTGCTTCTATTTCTTCTTACAGTGATAATTTAAGTTAAGTTTCATTAGCCTAGACGCTCGGCAGCCCGGATATCCGCGCGAAGCGCGCAAACGCCGCGCCAGCGGCACACTTACACGAAATTGCTGCACCTTCAACATCACCTTACACGGTTTACATATATAACGCAATCACCAACTTCGCTGAATTGAGGAGTTCTGGCCATTCGACGATCGGTTTGACTACCTAGGGAGCTCGACATTTCTTAGAAATGCTCCTAATTCGAAGTTCGTTAGTCGGCGCGCTTTGTTTGCTTTAAAAAACGCAGATGAACTTTGTTGTTTGTTTCTTTTTGTTGATCAGTGTACTACATATGACGTTCCATAGATGGCGCCACGATGCTATACCGCCGATGCTATGCACGAGCTTTCCGCTCCGACTTATCGTGCTTGCAGCTCGGCAGGCCGGCCTGACGGCTAGACTCGTACCCAGTCGACAGTTCCACACGCTACGGCACGGGTAACGAACGCGAACCAGTCTAGCTGTAACCCCCTAAACTGCATCCAGCGCGAACAAAGAGAAAGTTAAAATGTTTCTTTGTGTGTTATACTTATAACTGCGTCAGCATACCTTGCAGTCTCATGAAGTTGAAGTTCAAGTAATATTTATTTATAGTCGGTATGATTACAACGTCAAAACATAAGCTCTGATGAGCTTTTAAGACCGAGCAACTAACATAGGTAGACCAATAAATCAAACACTCATCTACAGCTTCCTTATGTGCTGTGGCATGGAGTTGTGTCGAGAGGAGACTGATACGGTCAGCGCCGGATGGCCTCACACAGCCAGTACTGTGGAGATTTCAGGGGGGGAGTAAAGAGTTGGGGAGATTTCAGGGGGATGACGTCATACAACCAGAGACCATGCAGCCACCGCAACAGAGGTAAAGAGTTTTCCTGGGGAAGGGGGTCCCATAGCAGCCGATGTAGGAGGTGAGAGAGTTGTACCCTCACGTACACGCGCCGGGCGAGAGGGTGGCGCCAGCCGCTGTGGGAGGTCAATGAGTTGCACCCTCACGTACACGCGCAGGGAGAGAGAGTGGCGCCAGCGGAGCACGTGGCAGACAAGGGGGTACGACGCTCGTGCGTATACTGGACCAAGGGGGTTGCATCACTTGTACACGTGTTAAGCGAGGGGGGACAACGGCCAGGCACCCGAGGCATGGTACAGAGAGGCGCTGCCTGTATCCTACGTCACCGCGGGCTCCTATATATAAGCAGCCAAGATGCAATGGTAAAGTCAGTCGGTGTTCGGACGGCCACGAACGCACGAATGCACACGAACGAACGAACACGAACAAACGAACAAACGAGCGGACGGGCGGACGAACGGACAAACGGACAAACGAGCGAGTGAGTGAGAGAGAGCACGCACACACACACCGTCGGAGGGAGAGCCCCTGCGAGCCGGACAACACCCGAGAAGGTTAGTTCTAGTACTATAGCCCGCTTACATTAACTGCCGCTGGCCTATAGCATCAACCATTACGAATGCTCGGGACCTATATACCTTATATTAAGGAAGACCTTATATACCTTATATTAAGGAAGACCTTATATACCTTATATTAACCTTATACCTTATACATACCTTATATTAACCTTATACCTTATACATACCTTATATATACCTTATATTAAGGAAGCTATAGCCTACACACGACAGGGAGACACACTGCCAACCCACGAACTCGCGCCGAGCCGCGAAGCGCACGACTGGGAGAGACAGAGACGGCTACAATATTAACGTGTAGCATAGCTAAGAGAAGTCAACGTGTAATCGCCTAACGAGATAACTTCAACGTCACACGAGCAATATATATATTATATATATCTATACGCTATATTCGAGATACGTCCAGTGAGTGTTGTGTTATTAATGATATCCGTATATGATGAATAAATCCATCAGTTGTATAAGTACTATCTAAACACTTGCGTTCATTTCACTGTGGGTTTTCCTGCTACGGCATCGCCGTCGTACCTTCGCGGTAGGAGCGAAAAATTATCCCGACATGAATAAATTCCACGTGCTAACCACAGCGCGTGGGAAAATCCAGTGTGGTCACCCCTAGGGTCACTACACGAATTTTGGGGGCTCGTCCGCGATTTTCGCATGCAATAGTAGCAGAAAAGAGTAATACCACAGTGAAATTCGTTGTCCTCACTATATCAGTGGTGGACGTTAGCACGTTTGCTTTCACTATAACCTAAATATGTCTAGCGAAGATTTTGCCGAACACATTATGCAACTGTCACATTTCTCATTCTACAATACTGATTTAGTGAGTTATTTTGTAAACATAGTAGCCTGAGTAGGCGTCACGAGTGTTTGCCACTGAGCAGAAAAAGCTGTAGGCCTGCAGGAGCGGTGCCTGTATATAGACAAAAAGTTCCACACAGCGTTGGTGAGCTATCGAGAACCGAAACAGTCATTAATCCCTAACTGTCTCACTAACAGTTCAACAGAAATATAGATGAATTACTTTTACAAAACACACTCCACCAAGTACTAGTTCTTTAATTTATATGAACTAGCAGACAAATACCCGTACAACGACGAAATCGTGCCTTCATATAAGTGACACAGTTTCACTTCACAATTTCATGCAACTGAAAAGAAAACAGAAACAAAACAACATTTCGGCAACAAACAAAGAGCGCAATTCTATAACTGAGCAGGGGAAAAGTGCTCAGTTGGTGACCACTTGCTTGAAAGGAAAATACCGCAAAATCTATCTATCTATCTATCTAT